CTGGTGCTCTTGGAATGAAGACTCCAGCCCCACCCCCCACCATTCTGGTTCTTGCTCTGAGAGCTCCAGCACCACTGGTCACCTTTCAGTGCCCTTGCACTTGCTGGTACGCCTTTTCTCTGCCTCCTCTTCCACTTGCTGAGTTAATTCCCACTCACTTATCCGATCTCTCAGTGACACCTTCCTCCAGGAAGCCATCCTGTCCCTTGCCTGTGTAGATGCTCTCAAGGTTCCACATATGTCTCATCACAGACATCGTTAGGTAGTTACTTGGGAGGCTGTTTGACATTTGTATCCCCCACTAGACTCTAAGTTCCATGAAGGCAGGCACTAACTTATTCACTGGTATCTCCAGCACAGGGCTTGGTACTCAATAAGGGTCCCTGAGCAAGATGGACCCAGCTCTGCTGCTTCCAGGCTGGGTAAATCTCTTCCCCTCTCTGAGCTTACACTGCTCATATCTAAAACGAAGAGGTCAGATGGATAGTCCCCAACTCAGACTGCCTATCGGAACCCCTGAGGGACTTTTAAAAGATGCACAGGTAATCATCATCATCATCAGATTGGGAACGGGAAGTGGGTAGAAGTTTAGATGTTACAGGAATGAGTGAGTATTGATAACGGTGGAAGCTGGCCAATGAGTATTTGGGAGTTCATTATATACTTCTGTTTACTTTGTATATGTTGGAAATTTTCCATAATAAAAATGTTTTGACAAGCTGCCCCAGCCCGGGCCCCTCCCCAGTGAGCGGTGGCGAGCCAGTGAGGGCATTTGGGAGAGCCGCAGCAGCGGTTCTGAAACACAGCTCTGGCGAGAGGCTTTTTGAGGCTGCTTCCAGCTCCGAAGATTCCCAGCAATTCTCTCCTGCCCACGTGGGTGCCGCTCGCTGGTGGAAAAATACCACAACCTGAACATTTGCTCTGCCCTCTCCCTTAACCCCTTGCAGCCTCAAACACTTCTAGGTATGTTGCCTAACTCAAAAAGTCCCCCCAAAACACCATCTCCTGGTAGCAGCCTCTTCTGGGCTTCTCCAGCCTCCCAAACTCCCAGTCTCGCTCCCGCAAGACCCCAGGATGAGCCTGAATCACCCAGGTGCCCCGAGCCACGGTGCCCGGCATGGTGGAGGGATTGAAACATGCCAGCCGGATTGAATTAAACAGAAATGAAAATATCCTTGTGGCCCCTAAGCTGTGTGATCCTGGGCAAATGACTTCTTGGCCTCTTTCTCTGTGAAATGGAATGACAATCCGTGCCCCATAGAGCTCTGGGAAGGATGCAATGAGATCATGACCTCAAAGGCATTGCAAGTTGTGTGGGACTTTGACCAGACTCTCTTCCCTTGGGGCTCCCATAACCCCAGGCTTCCCTCATGCTGGACAGTGGCTGGCTACTGATGCATCTGTGTCACATAGAGCCCGGGAGCCAGAGGGAGAGGTTGGTGGCCAAATCATCTCCATTCCCCCAGTCCCCAGTGCCTAGCACTGGACCAAGGAGAAAGGGAGAGACAGAGGAGGAGCGGGGGAAAGGAAGTTATGAAGAGTCCGCGGGCACTCCTAAAGTCCCCAGGGGCCAGAGGGGCCAGGGCAGCCCTCCCTGGGGCTTCAACTGGCAGATAAAGCCTAGAGGTGACCACTCTTGCAAGCAGAACACAAAGGCCACAGCAGCAATCCAGGAAGCTGAGGACATGGTGGAGAAGGGAGCCTGCAGCCTCGGAAAGAACAGGGGAGGCAAAGACAGCTTCCCAAGGCCCCCAGGACCAAGTTCCAGTTGATAGTCAAGGCCATCCGTGAGATGAGCCTCACTCGCCCATCCAGGGGCACCCCTAGCCGTTAAACTTCTCTATCCTCCCAAACATGCTCTCTACCTCCTTGCCTGTGGCCTGGCTGTTTCTCGTGCCAGACTGCTTGCCCTGCTCCCTTCTCCACACGGGCACCTGTGGTTCATTCACGATGATACCACAATGATCGCTTCCAGCCTGGAGGCTCTCCCGACTTCCCAAGACCATTCCGCACGCCTCCGCAGCCGCCCTCGTATTCACTCAAACCACGAGTGTAGCACGTACCTGTTCTCTCGTGGAATCCTAACGATGCCCCTGCAAGGCAGATACCACAGGCTCCATTTTACAGATTGAGATACTGAAGTTCAGAGTGGCTAAGTACCTTACTAAAATTCTTTCAGGCAGAGAAGACTGTGGAAGGTCTCTTCCATCTGCTCCAGATCTCTGTACTCTGAGGAAAAGGAGACTTGGTAGGGTGACACAGGACAGAAGAAGGTCACATTCAAGACCTAATGCCAGGCCTAGATGTGAGTCCCAAGAACCAAGAGGCTCCTAATATCCACAGCATGTTAGAGCCCAAGGGGTCTCAGTGAGGTCCCCTCGGTTCCCTCTGTGGCCAATGTTCAGGGAGGTGGGGACTGTGCTCCAGAGCGACAGGTGGCAACAGTGACTCCCTCCCATCGCCAGTGGACAGAGCCGGGCTGGCAGCCTCAGCCTTTTGGCCACCGACTGCCTGCTTTCCTCCGCCTGTCTCGTCCTCAGTCCGAGTCTCCTATTTCTGTTTGTCATTTGGTTTCACCTTTTCCCTGGGAGTGACTCTTTACCAGCCTCTGTCTTGGTCTCTCTCCGTCTCTGCATCAGTCCCAGGATGTCCCTTCATCTCTAAGTCTTCTCTTCTTCATCTCAGTCTCTCTCTGTTTCATCATTTCTCCTCCCGGGTCTTCAACACTGTCTCTTAATCTCTGTCCTTAGCCCTTTCTCTTCGTCCCTCTGCCTCTTCCCTCCTGTCGCTGTTCTCGTCTCTTTCCATTTCCGTCTGCTGTCTTTCTGCCTTTCTCTGCCCTATGTCTGTGTCACCGCTGTTGTCTCCCTCAGTCCGCGTGTATCTTTGTTACTGTCCCTTTCTGTCTCAGTGCTCTGCTCTTTCTCCCAGACTCTCTCTGCCTCTCCCCCATCTCCCTGTCTCTGTCACTCTCTCTGAGTCTCTCGGTCTCGTGTGCCTGTCTCAAAGCCCCTGGCTGGGTGAAGGGCAATGCCTCCCCCACAGTGCCTCCATCCAGCACCCCCTCCCTGGCCCAACAGCAGGCTCTGCTTCTAAACTTGCTCCCATGTAGGCGCTGGGGGGCAGGGGGGACCCCCGGGCCTCATTCCAGGGCCTGTTCCATCTGAGTGGCATTGCTGACAGATGAGATAGGGATCGGGTTTGGCTCTGTCCAGGCCTGAGCAAGGGGCACAGGCAGGCTGTGCGGGGGTGTCTGAGCGCCTGCAAACTTTGGCATCTGGGTTTGTGCACGGGACTCCCTGGGCGGGGCGGTCCGAGTGTCTGTCTAGATATATTTGTGAGCGTCTGGGCCTGTTTATGTCTGTCTGTGAGAATTTGCATGTGTGTGTCTTTGCATGGGGCTGTCTGGGTGTGAGCACCTCGGTCTGTGGTCTCCCCACACATGAGTGCCTCAGAGTGCACGTGTGTCCGGGCACACAGGTGAGTCCCTGGGAGGACCTGGCATTGTGGCCTATCCGTGCGGCTATCCGCAGGCCAGGCTCTCTGCTCGCCTTCTCTCGCACGGTCATCGACGAGGTACAGATTCTAGCACCTGATTTGACAGGTAGAAAAGTTGAGGCTCTTAACCCCCGTGCTGGGACGTGTGACTATATATGTGTGACATGTATATGTCTGCTTGAGGCAGAGCGCTTGGAGTCTGGAGGCAGACAGACCTCATTCAAATCGTGCCTGACCCCAGGCAGGTTGGCCAACCTTGGGCAGTTCTGAATTCATTCAGCAAAACTGTATTGGTCAAAAACAGATAAAATTAACCCATGGTGTTAGAAGTCAGGTTAGGTACTACCTTGGGAGGGGTTACCTGAGAGGGGGCCCAAGGGAGCCCTCTGGGTGCTATAATGACATATCTTCACTTAGTTGGGGGTTACGTGGGTGTGTTCATCTAGAAAACAGTAATCAAGCTGTTCATTTCAGACATGTGCACTTTATGCACGTTAAACATCAATTTCAAAGTTTCCAAAAAATTTATTGATCTCTTACTATTTGCCAGGGATTAAATAGCAACAAGTGTGTGTGTGTGTGTGTGTGTGTGTGTGTGTGTGTGTGTAACATTTCAAAAAGTGAGTCAGTCCAGGCTTTAAGCACATATGACGCTGTCTTAAGATTATCTCTTGTCTGTCTCTGCCTCCACTCCAAATTCCTTGTACCAACTTGTCCCAAAAGCCTGGCACGGAAAAGGGGTCCCATGAATATTATAAATAAATATTTATAAAGTCTTATAAATAAATAGTATAGACACATAAGGAAGACCCTGGAATTTATCTCTAGATTTCAGTAAGACTCTTAAGTCCTATGAATTTCACAGCCCACTAGACAGCAGCGGCACCGACTAGTTTCAATAAGTGGTTTTATTACTGGTTAGATTTTACAAATTCTGATATTCGAACAGACTTCCACCTTAAAATTCTAAAACAACAAAGCGACCATTGGAAGGGGTTTGATTTTTTTCCTTTTTTTTTTTTTTTTTTTTTTTTGGACTATTCAAAGTAACAAACTTTTTTTTTTTTTTTTTTTTTTTTTTTTTTTTTTACATTTTTGCTCTGGTCATAAATATACAGAGAGAAAAAGAGGGAGAGAAAAATGAACAGGTCATCCAAAGCATGGAGATAAAACAGTGTTCCTAAGGCACGTGGCAGTCTTTGAAAATACAGAAGCTCTAGCCAACTTAAATTATTCGTTGTTTCTCCTCGCTCAGTCCACAAAACTGTACAGTGACACAAATGTTGTGTTGCGATAGATCTTCCAAGTAATTCCTCGGTCCACACCGCTTCGTGAGCCGGACACGCAGTTCTCTTTTTCCTCTGTTTCCAGGCGAGATCCTAAAATGTGGTTAGTTAGTTGCTCAAAGCCTCTATTTTAAAATACACTTGGAATTCAACTAAAGATAATTTTTTTAAAGA